TTTTTTTTTTTTGTGTTGTTGTCCTGATTCTGCTTCTGTCAAGTCAATATGAAATTGCTCCTGTGCTGCTTCTATTTTTTTTTTTCTCAGTCGTCTATTTTTTTTTTTTTTGTTGTTGCATTCTACTGCTGTCCTGATTCTGTTTCTTTTGTTGTCCTATCCTGTCAATATAAAATTGTTTACAACTGATATGAAATGTGATTCAGTACATGTGAATGTGTTTTGTTCCTTTGATTGTAGTGTGATAGTGTTATTCATAAATGGCATCGTCGTCCGAAGGGAACAAAAAAGATCCGGCATGGAAATATGCACACTTGGTAAATCCTCAAAACACAAACAAGTTCAAATGCAATTTTTGTGGAAAAGAGTCAAATGGAGGTGTCTATCGAGTCAAGCAACACCTGGCAGGGAACTCTACGAGTGTTATTACTTGTCCAAAATGCCCTGCTCATGTTAGGGAGGAGATTAGAGAATACATGGCTAAAAAAAGGAAGAGAAGAATCTAATAAACATGGTTCCCGACTTTGATGAGATGCCTAATGACTTGGAGTAGGATGAAGATGATATTGTAGAAATTGTTGCGAACCGTAAAAGATCCATAACTAGTTCTAGTCAAGGTTTTACACAAACCACATCGAGACCAAAAAAGCTAAGACAAAAAGGGCCTATGGATGTATACTTCACCCCTGATCCGAATGTTGTGGTGCAAAATCAAAAGACCAATGGGAGACAAACGAATATTGATGACAGCGATCCTTTTAGAAAGGAAATGAGAGAAAGAGTCATCACAACATTTGTCCGATGGATGTATGACACGGGAATTCCCTTTAATGTTGTGAACTATGAAAGTTTTGCAGCAATAGTTGAAGCTTTTGGACAATATGGTCCTGGTTTGAAACCCCCTTCTTACCATGAGGTTCAGGTCCCATTGCTCAACAAAGAAGTAGGGCATATAAAGTCATTGATGAAAGATCACCAAGAGGATTGGGCAAAATATGGATGTTCCATAATGGCCGATGGATGGACTGACAAGAGAGGGAGAACCTTGATTAATTTCTTAGTGAATTGTCCAAAAGGGACCATGTTCTTTGAATCTGTTGATGCTTCTGCATACTCAAAGGATGGGCAAAAAATGTTTGAATTGCTTGATAATTTTGTAGAGCGTATTGGTGAAGCTAATGTGATTCAAATTGTCACTGATAATGCGGCAGCAAATGTGTTAGCAGGTATGAGCTTCTTGAAAAAAAAAAAAAAGATAACTACTTGTTATATTGAATTTTTTTTATGCACACTAGTTGCTAAAAAAATCTTTATTTAATAGGTAAGTTTTTGGAGGCAAAACGACCAAATCTATATTGGACGCCATGTGCTGCCCACTGCTTGGACTTGGTATTGGAAGATATCTTCAAATTGCCAAACTTCAAGAGAACATTTGAAAGAGGAATAGCATTACACGGTTATATTTATAACCGTCCAACTCTGTTGAATATGATGAGACGATTTACCCAGTCAAGGGAGTTGATTAAGCCTGCAAAAACTAGATTTGCTACGGCTTTTCTTACGCTAACAAGGATCAACCAACAAAAAGGTAACTTGAGAAAAATGTTCACTTCAGAGGAATGGACTACAAGCAAATGGGCAAAAGAACAACAAGGCAAAAGGACAGCACAAATCATTTTAATGCCTTCATTTTGGAGTAATGTTGTCTACTCTCTTAAGCTTACTGGCCCTCTTGTCCGTGTGCTTCGATTGGTTGATGGTGAGAAAAAGCCTCCCATGGGGTACATTTATGAAGCTATGGACCGGGCTAAAGAAGCGATTGCTAATTCTTTTAATGGCAATGAAGAGAAGTACAAACACATATTTGAAATCATTGACCGAAGGTGGGAAGTTCAATTGCATCGGCCTTTGCATGCAGCTGGGTATTTTTTGAACCCAGAGTTTTTCTATTCCAATCCAGAGGTTGAGAAAGATCAAGAAGTCATGAATGGCCTATATAAATGTTTGGAAAAGTTGGTCTCAAATCCTGCGATACAAGATAAAATTGGTCAAGAGTTGAGTATTTACATGAAAGGTGAAAACCTCTTTAAGTTGCCCATGGCGGTTAGACAAAGAACAACTAGGGCACCAGGTAATCTATGTTATCCCACAAGCTTATTTCATTATCATTGCTTAAATATGTTAGTTAATTAATTGTTATTCATTATTCACAGCTGATTGGTGGAGTGCATATGGGTCTGCAACTCCAAATTTGCAAACCTTTGCAAAAAAAGTTTTAAACCTTACTTGTAGTGCATCCGGTTGTGAGCGAAATTGGAGTGTGTTTGAGCATGTAAGTATCATCCTCAAACCTCTTCAATTACATTTTTTTTTAATCTTATTATAAATTTTAATGTATTGTTAATAAATTATTGCAGATACACACCAAAAAAAGAAATAGACTAGCTCAATCCCGTCTCAATGATTTGGTGTTTGTTAAGTATAATAGAGCTTTGAGGCGCCGATATGATTCTCGTGACACAATTGATCCAATATCTTTGAAGGATATTGATGATAGCAATGAGTGGTTGATTGGGAGAATGGATGCAGACACAGATGAAGATAATGAGCTTGTGTTTGGTGATGATACTTTGACTTGGGGCGAAGTTGCTCGAGCTTCTGGAGTTACGGAAAGTAGCCAACGGACTAGATCAATACCATCTACTAGGGTAACACCAAGGTTTACAAGATCGACGACTGGACTCACAGATGAGGAAGACATAATTTCAGATGAGGCAGAGGAGGAGGATATTGAGGGATATGAATCTAAGGACAATGAAGAAGATGGTTTCTTTAGTGATGAGGATTGATTTCTAAGTCCTTGAGATATTTTCTTTAATTGCTTGAATTATGTGTCTTATGTTTTTAAATATTAGGATTTGGGATATTATTAGTGTTTGTATGAATTTAAATGTTTAAGTTATGACTGTTATTAAGATTTGTAATATTATTAGTGTTTGTTTTAATTTAAATGTTTATGATTTTACTTGCATTTAAATATTTAGTATATATAAAATTAAAACTTTGATGTGTATAAGTAATTACATTAAAATATTTATTTATTTGTTTAACTGCTCGCTTCGCTTTGGTAAATCGTTTCGCTTCGTTTCTCGCTTCTCGCCTAGGCGTTAAGAGCCTTGGTCGCTTCGGTTCGCTTAACGCCTTAAATAACACTAGGTAGATCTACCATTAGAAAAGTTGAAAGTTGCTAAGCTCTTATGATCAATCCTCCAACCAGAAAAAGAAATAAAATGATGAGTGCAAATATGGGTATCAAACCTCATTTGCANACATACACCTATTGCAAAAGTTCTAAGAATGGTGGATGAGGAAAGAAAAACAATAATGTCATATGTATATGAAACAATGAAACAATGAAACGAGCAAGACAAGCTGTCAAAGATGCGACTCCTAAATCGTGCAAAAAANGATGACAGGAAGTCTACCACAGGTTATGTGTTTACTCTTGTGGGAGGACCTATTTTTTGGAAGTGCATGGTACAACCTATAATTGCACTATCTACTACTGAGTCAGAGTATATGGCAGTAGTTGAGGCTGCCAAAGAGGCTTTGTGGCTTACAGGTTTAGTCAAGGAGCTGGGTGCCCAGCAAGGTGGAGTTTAATTGCAT